AGAAAGAAAGAAAGAAAGAAAGAAAGAAAGAAAGAAAGAAAGAAAGAAAGAAAGAAAGAAAGAAAGAAAGAAAGAAAAAGATGGTGATGGAAAACATTTGGGTATTCCCCAGATTCCCTTTCCACAGCCCACATCCTCGGTACCCTCACCTGCCTATGACAGACAATCCACTAACGGCCAAGGACGGCCTTCCCAAGCATCATGGGATTCGAATTGAACTTTCCTCATGCCAGGCTGTCTATGCCCTGCCTCCACATCCCTCATGCTCCACTACAGGTGAGACATCTGGAATCTCATGTCCTTAGGGCCAGGTTTGTTTATTAGGAAATAAAGCAAACTAGTCCTGTGAGCTAGTTGGGAAACTCCAGAGGATGGGACTCATTCCTAAGTCCGTTCCGACTGCTACCAGGGCTTCCTGGAAGCGATGGGCCATTCTCTCAGGGACTCATCTGAAAGCCATTCCAGGACGACTGAGGTTTCCAGCCGAGGCTATTGATAACATCACGTCAGGCAGGTTTTAGCCTCAGCCACTGGATGGACATGGCTGGATGAGTAATGGGTGAAGTGAGATCACCAGAGTAGGTGGAGCCTCCTCAGTATGCACGTTCCTTAGCAGCAGGTAAGATGGCCTAGCCAAAAAAAAAAAGAGTCACTTTTTTACTTCCACCTCCGCACACATTAACTACAAGTTGACTCACGGCACACACAAATACGGATGGATGGCCCGTAGCAAACAGCCTTCTAGAGCGTAAGCACCAGTTATGCTGGGCTCTAGCAAGAGCTTCCATCCCAGGACCTGGGGAGCGGAGTTGCGCAACCAATCCCGTGTGGCTAGGAGTTTCTTGTTTGGCAGCCAGGTGAAACAGGGCTGCCTCCCTTAAGCAACGTGCCTTCCCCTTACATACCCTTCGTGCATAGAATTCCTTCGGAAGCCGCTGCAAATCCCTTTTGCAGAATGGAGACCAGAACAATCTGTTTTTGTAAAAAAACAAAAAAACAACAACAACACCAAAAATAAAAAACCCTAGGCTCTCTCTCCCTCCAGCCATCCTAACAAATCCCCTTTCCCTTCTCAGACCTCTTCTCAAAACTCCCACATTATTCCACATTCCCAGGAAGGCTTTTTTCCTACAATGGATCTCTGAATCAAAATGGCTGTAGTCCAAAGGTTGTGCCAAAGAACAATTCATCTGGCTGCCAGGGGAGTTTCAGCTGTATGGCTGATCTTTCTTCCTCCCCTGTGTTTTCCTTTCTCAGTTGTCATGTATCATCTAGTTAAGCGACAGCTGTGACGTCGAAATTGCTCTTAGCCGTGTGTTTTCAGTGTTTCAGGTGACTCCACTCAGTCAATTGGAAATCATTATCATACACAAATGCATATGCTAATCTGTGACCTGGGAGCTCGCCCCGTGGAATGAATAAACAATCACTGGCAAACACCAGGGTATGGCATCTCAATGAAGTCATCACAGAATCGCTGGCAATTATCTTGGCAAACTTAAGGTGAGAGGTGTGTGAACGGAGACAAAAACTAACTGCTCTTGTGTTTTAAGAAAGAAAAATAGGAAAATTCTTTAAAAAAAAATCAAAAATCAATCTTAGCACTAAGATCCAGAAACCTATTAAATTTTATAAACACACACACACACACACATGCACTCACACGTGCTCACACACAGACGGTGAAAAAAGACACTTGTTTTTTTTTTAAAAAAGTCTTATGTATACATCAGTCAAGTGTTATCCCTCAGATGCTTGACGAGACGGATAAAAACCAAACAGAATGAAAAGATCTTAAATGGCTGTGACTAGTGTGACATTCAGGCTTTACCTTGCTTGTGGTTGGCCAGCTAAGGAACTACATCCTGAAATCACCCTCATCTGGTGGATTCATGAACGGTTAGAAGGCCTTTCCCAGTGGTAATTACTAATGGTCTGGTGTGAACCCAGAGATGCATACCTCATTGAATTCCATAAAGGTTGGTCTTACCCTACTGCTATTTTTAGTCGGGACTTAGATGACGGGAGAGAATATGATTATTAAGTTCATCAAATGACATCAAACTGGGCGTGGTACATCCCGCTTTGGAAACCTGGATAGAAGTGCAAATGATCTTGGTAAGTGAGAGAGGTGGGTGGACATAAACAGATCCAGGTTCTGCTGTGCCAGTCACATGGGAAGAAAAACAAACCACACAATTGCAGGATTCGTTCTGTGATGTCATAAAGAAGACGAAGAAGAAGGTCTGGAGGTCACAGCCAGCACACGCTGCTGATGTTCAGATTTCTCTTTAAAGGCAAGTTCAGTTTAGTAGAAGAAAAGCAGGTTGTCTTTCCTGGGTGCCGGGTGTAGCTCACGTGCATACGATAATTACAAAACTCTATGATATCTTTAAGTTCACATTTTTAAGGAGAACTATTTGAGAACGTGGAGAACAGGTTTTTTTTAAAATCGATGTGTTTATTGATTATATATTTGAGAAACTGCTAAAATCACACAGTGATGTGTTTTGTGGACTGCTTGAGGGAGAGAGTTAAACATGGGCAAGTCTGGCAAAGGAAAACTGGAGGGAGAGCAGGAGCCTGGAAGACACAAGAGTAACTATACAACAAACGAAGCTATAGAAAGTAGAGTAAATCCGATGCCCTTGGCTGACAACCAGATTGGGGACAGCTCTGTGCCGAGAGAGAAAACCAGAATGCACACATGAGGCCAAAACTACAGAATCTTTGTGTTTCTTGTTTGTCTGGTTTACCCCCTTTTTATTTTTAAAGGAAAAAAGGACAGGGGAGGTGCACCCCAGAGGAGCTTGGGACCCCTGCTTGCCCCAGGAACCGAGTGAACGCTTGAGCCCCATGGCCCACACCTGCTTCCCCAGGTCCCAGCACTGCTCTGCTTGATACATTGCTATTTCAAGATGGTGCTGGCCGGTGATGCGGAGTCGTGAAAAAAACCCAAAGCGCAAACCCTTTGCCTCTGGAAGGTGGGGTGCAGCTTGTTCCTACCCCTGGGCTTTGGGTCAAGCTTCCTGGGGACCATGTCTGGAACGCATATGGCGTCCTTCCACCTTCAAGGCCGGATGCAGAAGCAGGCCACCTCCCAAGGGCTTGTCTAACCACTCTTGGTCACAGCATTTTCTCCTTCTTAGGAACGCAGAGCGTTTGTTTACTATCAGCGGCATTCCCTGGACACATAGTCACACAGCATTGTGACATCTCAGGCTCTGGTGAGTCACCAGTTGATATTTTGCTTCTCGCCTCTACTACCTTCCCACCAGGTCATAAGCTCTCTGGAGATGAGGATCATGTGTTAAGAGATCTTGTATCCTCCTATAGCACCAAATTCGAGAAACACTGTGCTATTGATAGGGAGCAAGTTAATCCTGCTGAATGAATGAATGAGTGAATGAATGAATGAGTGAATGGGTGAATGAATGAGTGAATGGGTGAATGAATGAGTGAATGAATGAACACATGGGTGACGAAAAATGTTGAAAGAAGAATCAATCTTCTAGAAATGTTGCTTCTTTGTTTGTGTTTGTTTGTTTGTTTTTCTTCAGACAAGGACAGCTCTGGCTGTCCTAGAACTCACTATGTAGATAGACCTCCAACGCAGATCAGTGTTCCTCTGCCTCCCCAAGTGCTGGGATTAAAGATGGGTACCACTCAGCCCAGTGAAATGTTGAAATGAAAAATCAACTTTCTAGTGTAGTTTTTTTTGTTATTGTCGATTTTTCTTTGTTTGTTTGTGTCAACTGTTCTGGAGACAGACTCTTCCATGAGAAAATGAAAACCAATAACACTTTACTATTTCACGCTCCCTATTCCTTTGGTCTTTCAAGGCAGCGTCTCCTTTATCCCAGCATGGCTTTGAACTCTCCCAAGTGGTCCTAAACTCACAATGCTGGTGCCACACCTCCCAAGTGCTGTGATTACAGGCTTGTGCCACCACATCCTGCAATAGTTTATAAGTTTAGTAAGAAAACTAAGTTAGCCCTACAGCGTTGGTGCACACCTTTATGGTCGAGCATTTGGGAGGCAGAGGCAGGTGGATCTCTATGAGTTTGAGGCCAGCCTGGTCTACAGAGTAAGTTCCAGGACAGCCAAGGCTACACAGAGAAACCCTGTCTTGAAAAACCAAAAAAAAAAAAAAAAGAAAGAAAGAAAACTACATGACAATACTATGAAACAAAAAATTCTCAATGGTTCCTTTATATGTATAAATATTACAGAGTCCTGAAAAATAACAGATTATAAAAATTATAAAATTGTTAATGTTTTTGTATGGTGATATTTTATTTGTACTGAAATGTGATATTTTATGTGTATGCTAATAAATAAAGCATGCCTGGAGATCAAGGGGGAAAAGGCCAGCCATTTTTAAGTAAACACAAAAGTCAGGCAGTGGTAGCACATGCCCTTAATCGGATCACTTGGCAGGCAGGGTCTCTGTGTGTTCAAGGACACACTAGGGAACAGCCAAGCATGGTGACACATGCCTTTAATCCCAGGACCAACCATAGACATCTGGAGGTCTGTACAGACAGATAGTGACAAGGAAGTGAGGTAGCTGGGCTAAGAGCCAATGAGAGGGCAGAACAGCAAGGCAATAAAGGCGTGGGTAGACAGGAAGTAGCTCACCTTTTGATAGCTGCAGAGCTGGAGAGGTAAAGTTGGCGGCTCTCACTATTTCCCTGATCTCTAAGGCTTTCACCCCTATATTTGGCTCTGTGTTTCTTACTTAATAAGACTATTTAGAAATTCGGCTACAATTTTGATCTGAGTGGAGCATTTTTTTTTTTTAGCAGCCCAAGGGATTATAAAGCAAAAAATAAACCATCCCATGCACAAGCATGAGTTAAGATGATTCAAATAAAATTTGAATTCTTTTGAGATTAATATTTTATGGTCATTTTGCCTCAGCTCTCTGTGAGTGATCCTTCTCCTATGTCTACCAACAGAGTGTCAAAGGTGGAAGACCATACTTACAATGGTGTAGTTGGGATTTTGCATTAAAACACTGGCCCATTTTGCAGAGATTGACATCACTGATAGTAATCTGCCTGGGTTGCAACCTATGGCCTGGAACTCAAGAGCACCACATCCACAGCACCTTTTCAAATTATCTCCAATGTGAAGTTTTCTCGATGATTGTTGTCTAAGCACGATACTTAGCAAGGTGTTTTGAAAATACTGAGGCATGATGGTATACAGTAATTGAGGTTCCTGATTGACAGCCTACTGGTTTAGGTGCTTGACTGACATCTGATTTGTTGAAGCAATTGATTGACATCCTCTTAGTTGAGAATGTTGGTTGACATCCCAGTAAAACTTGTTTTCCCCTTGAACCTCTCCTAGACACTCATTAGCCAATGTTATAATAGAATATCCCTCGTTTCCGAAACAATTCAGGATGGCCAAGGTGCTTATACACGTGTCTTTGAAGTGGAAAAATACATTTTGGCATGAACTGTGAGTTTGAGAAGCAGTTAAAAAGTTCTTGTCAAAGTCAACATTACCTTGTTTCTGTGTGGGAATCCCTGGGCCCTGAGAATTCAGTCAGCCCCTTGAGACACAGTAATAGCCAAAGCCTTTTGAATTTTTTCTTTTCTTCCTTCCTTTCTTTCTTCTTTCCTTTCTTTCTTGCTTTTTTTTTCTGATAATTTTTGATAAGGGACAGATTCAGGGGCAACAAGGTCTATGGCTGGTTTGATTTATGTTGGAGTTGTATCCCAATAAAAACAGCAGAAGTTGAAAAATATGCAAGCTGTAAATATCCCGGGGAGCAAATAAAATCAAAGATGATGCTACATATGCGTGTAAAACACTATATCGAAAGACATTGTTTTGGGCAATGAATATCCACTAACATTTTAAAATGCTCTTAATGTACTTGACATAGCCAAGTATGGTGATATATATTGTAATCCTAGAACTCAAGAGTCTAAGGCAGGAGAATTGCCAAGATTTTGAGGCTAACCTGAGCTACATAGTGAGACCTTATCTAAAGAAGAAGAAAAAAAAACAAAACCAGCAATTAATATACCAAGCACCCTAGCTTAGCTACAGAGGACTCTGTTGTTTCTCCTTGTGGCCTTGTGGCTGACTGGGACCTTCTTCAAGTCCTGCTGTTGTTCAGCAATGTTAGTGAGTTCCCACCCCCCACCAACCTGGGCAAAGGTCAGCATTCCAAAGAGGACCGTTCCTCCTGAACACACTGTTTTTGTAGCATTACCAAGTCAAAGAGCTGGACTTGAACTCTCTGTACCGCTTTGCCATGGAAAACATGGGTGCCTTAGAAATAAATAACTACTTTGAGAAACTGACTCCACAGGCTTGGAGATGCCAGCTCTACCATCCGTTACAGCCTGCTTTAGTTTCTTCATTTAAAAGTAATCTTTATCGGAGCTAAAGACTGGACCATACCTTGACTAGACCGTCCTCTCCATTAACTGAACTCACAAAGTGCTGGGCAACAGCAATGTTTTAAGGTCCCAGGAACCCACAGGGTCACAAAGAGAATGCATGGCTGTAATGACTGAGTTCTCATTTAACATCCAGAACATGGAACATCCCGTGCCCTCTTGATGGGAAACAGACCGCTCTTCACTTCATCCCACCCTGAGCACTCCTAAAGTGCTAGACATTTGGAAGTCTGGATGAAACAGAGCCAAGAATGAGGAAACATAATAATGAAGTAAGAAGAAATTTCACTTTGTTTTTCAAAATCCATAGCTCACCGTTTTTTCCAAAATTCCCAAAATATTTTGTGGGGATTTGACAAGCCTTAAAAGAAAAAAATAGAGCCGGGTGGTGGTGGTGGTGCAAGCCTTTAGTCCCAACGCCTGGGAGGCAGAGCCAGGTGGATCTCTATGAGTTCAAGGCCAGCCTGGGCTACAAAGTGAGTTGTGAGTTCCAGGAAAGGAGTAAAGCTACACAGAGAAACCCTGTCTTGAAAAACAAAAACAAACAAAGATAAAATGATCTTCGACTATCCCATCAAAATTGTTTCCACACTGGAATGATAGGGACAGGGCACCAGGTCCTAGAACTGGGGGTGGGCGGTGGAAATGCTACATTCCATATCAAATAAAATAGTAATTTGGTATTTAGTATCAGATACGTTCATTTAAATAAACAGTAACTTAACATTTATTAAAGTGTAAACACACTTGCAATCCCAGGAACACAAGCTAAATAAACAGTAAAGGGTGAGATTAGAAAGCAGCTTAATGCCCTGCCACCTAAAACGCAGTAACTGTTTCAAAGTGATGCTTTTAATTCAGTTGACATTTACTAAACCCACACAGGGTGATTGGGATCAGAGATGAATATGATAAAGTGTTCGTTCGCCTTGGGGACCTCCAAGCTAGCACAGCTGGGAAGGAAGTACAGGGGTGTGACAGAGCAGTGACTGCTCTGGACAGGCATCAGCCTCCCTCAGGGAGCTTCTAATCTCCTTTTGGAGAAGGAAGGGAGACTCCGCCTCCAAAGAGCCTTGCACAAGAGCATCCTAAAAGGGGAAGAGGAAGCTGGCAGGCAGATGAGGCAGGAACCATCAGAAAACATCAGTGATTCCTGGGACTAGACAAAGCGCCTTCTGGAGCAGGGCAGGATAAAGTGGTTCTTAGATAATGATACAATTGGGAAGTGGGTGGAGGCGAAAACCAGAAAGCCTGGAGTGCACTGAATGGCGGTTGGGGCTTTATCCTTTGGTGACTATTAGAACAGCAGTAGACCCCAGGTTATGCTTGGAACCGAACACGATCATCCCTGGTGTCCCGGGTACTCTCATGGGTAGCCCCATATGAGTAAATTTCACAGTCTTCTTCCTGGTGACTAGAAACAACTGTACCTGGGCATACAAATAACAATGAACTTGTCCTCTGGTCCCCAAGAGCTCGTAGGAATGAAAAGGAAAGACACAGAAAAAGCTAGATATAATAGAAATGAAAGAGAGAGAGAGAGAGAGAGAGAGAGAGAGAGAGAGAGAGAGAGAGAGAGAGAGAGAAAGAAAGAAATAGAACCCGGTGTGGTGAATTCTCTTTGTAATCCCAGGACTCTGGGAAGCTGAGGCAAGAGGATTGTCATGAGTTTAAGGGCCACCTGGGCTAGATGGTGAGTTCAAAGCCAACCTGGTCTGCCTCAGAAGACACTATCTCAAAAAAAAAAAAAAATTAAAAAGAAACAAAAAAAATGGTATGAGATGATACAAGACTGATAAAGTTCCCTAAAGGTGGCAGCCATAGCAGATGTGAATAGTCATGCATTTTCATGTCCATGGCTTTGGAGGCAGTTGAAAGTAGAAAAATAGGCCTTACAGACACATCATCAAGGTTCTTCAGTATCATACCCAGGATTTCCAAGTTGGTAAGGTCATCAGTGAGGACCCATTAAAAAGAAAGATTTTTTTTTCTTTTTTTGATGTGTGTGTGTGTGTGTGTGTGTGTGTGTGTCAGCCAGAGGTTGACGTTGAGTGTCTTTCTCAATCTCTCTCCACTTCAGCTCTTTAGACAAGGTTGCTCATGGACACTGAAGCTTCCTGACTCACTGGTCTGTGAGCCGCAGGACGGCTCCTGCTTCTACCTTCCCAACACGGGGATTCCAGATGCGCACAGTGCCACATCCTGCTTTTCCTGTGATGCTGAGGATCCAGATCCTCATGCTTGCCCAGCAAACTCTTTACTGAGCCGTCTCCCTAGCCAAGATTTCTGTTTTTTAATGTTTTTCTTTTTTTATTAATTAATTAATTAACTGTTTCTATTAGCTTGATACAGTACAAATTCTTATACTAATAGGGAAATGTTTCACTGAGGCTTGCCCGGTGATTGAGTAAAACCAAAACTTATTATAAGCCACAGTCATCCTAGGGTCCCCCCTGCTATGTAGCCTCCCTAGATCTGTGGGTTGCAGTCTGATTGTTCTTTGCTTTATATCTAGAATCCACTTGTGAGTGAGTACCTACCATGTTTGTCCTTCTGGGTTGGGGTTACCTCACTCAGGACCTAGCCAAGATTTCTAATCATGGGACTAATTGATGGAACCTAGTTGGCTTTGTTTGTTTATTTGTTTGTTTTTGACTGATGTCAGCAGCTTGTGGACCCAGGACGGGGAGTGCAAGGGACAGATGACGGCTTTGTCTCAGATAGGATGGGATTCAGTACTGTGGCTCTGAAGGCCTGATTACTGTCTTCTCTGAATCTATGTGATAATGACACTTCTCAGTCCAAAACTGAAGTTTTAGTCCTGCAAGGCAGAAGGCAGAAAAACAGGAGAATATTTACAATCCTGGGGAGATATATCATCCCAGTATAAAAGAATGAGGAATACCAGAGCTTCAATGAGCTTGCTACCCAAAAGGTTATGTCAATGTTTATAGACTATAAATTTTATAATAAATCAGGAAACCAAATGAACCCACAGAAGTTTTGTGACAGAGCCAGGACCGCTAATGAGTGACCTTCTGCCTTCACCGATGAGGATGACATCATTTATAATAATGGTGTATTCCAGAGCCAGTCTGTGAGAAAGCTGACAAATTGGGGATACGGAATTTATTTCAATAAACTAGCCTGCTGGCAGTTTTCATAATCAAAAATCCACTGGCCGGAAGCCATACAAAAGAGAGAGGAGAACTCACTCGTTTCCTTTGCTCTTTTGTCTGTTATTCTCTCTTTCTTTTTGGAGGAAAGTAACAGTTAAAAAAAATAAATAAATTTGACTCAGTCCACTATACCAAGTCTGACAGCCAGTGGGTGACAGAGAACCAGGTCACTGACATCCAATTGTCAATGGGAATGCCTTTTCAGTGTTTAGAAAGGCAGTGTTTGCTCAATCAAAAGGTAATCGCATCTGCCCTAGGAACAGAGGATTGGAAGACTAGAAACCTTAGGGCTAATAAAAGTGACACACACACACACACACACACACACACAGAGAGAGAGAGAGAGAGAGAGAGAGAGAGAGAGAGAGAGAGAGAGAGAGAGAGAGAGATCTGTTAGTTAGCTAATTAAGGCAGAAACCTGTAGCTAGCGCCATCTGAATCCCCTCATATTCACGCCATGAATGATCACTTTATTTAAAGATGCTTCCCCGTGATGTGGACCTTCGAGGAATGTCCCCCACCAAACGAGCAGCATTTTGTTCCTTGCTGTTTTGTTCATCACACACAGCCCTCCCTGCCATTCACTGGGTCCCTGACCATCAGGAAAGGGTCTCTGTGACTGCACCAAGTTGATATGATTTGAGCTAGTAGCAAAGAAACTTGACATTTTATTTAACCCAGGGGGGCTTATCTCAAGAAAAAGCATCAGTCTCTGCTAGCCTTTTTGAAATATTGAAAATAGCTCAAGGAGTCCATTATAGCCTTCAAGGACCCTAAGGGAGGTGGAATTTTTACACAGGGAACTCTCCCACTAGAGAATAGACAAGAATGAATTAGGGAGTGTAAGCCTAGTACATGTCACATTCTCTTCATGTCTATGCATTTTTTACTTCACTTCTAACAATTGTTGGTTGAACACCAACTAGTTAGGTAGTAGCCACTAACGTGCATATCGGGGTACAGAGATACATTACTCTGCCCAGAGATTCTCACAGTCTAATCAGGGAGACAGAGGTGTAAAAGAGCCCAGTGTATTCTAATACAGGCTTGGTCACACACTAATTGCTCTGGGTGGCTACGGAGACAGTTCCTAATTCTGCCTTAGGGAACCCGAAAAAAAGACGCCAGAGAAGCCGGGACGTGAGGCCCGTGAAGTAGCCAGTGAGTTGGACAAATGGACCACGACTTTGGAGGTAACACATGAAAAGGCGCAAGTTGTGTGTGTGTGTGTGTGTGTGTGTGTGTGTGATGATGGTGTGTTTACAAACAACCTGCATTCAGCAGGAGGAGCAATTTACAGCCTGGTGGGTGGACAGAGATGTAATGCCAAACCTGGGGGGGACTCCAAGCTCCAGCCCTTGGAAACTGGGTACCTAAGCTTCTAGGCCTCGGTTTCCCTAGCATCTCAAAAGGGGCCTGACAAGAGGTTCGGCCCCTCGGGGTTATCCTGAGACTCGAAGCACACCCTAAAGCGTTCAGCCTTCAAGCCGTTCCCTGTGTCGCTGCTGCCTGGATGCGGGGGTCATTCACGCTCTCAGAGCGCATGCCCCTCACAAGGCAGTGACAACCCACAGGAGGGAGGCTGGGACCAGCACGTTCTGGGTCTCTCTGTGACGCCAGTGTTGTCCTCTGTGAACCTTTGAAGAACTTTAAGGCAAAGAGCGGGAAATAACTGTGTTTTTAGGCTAGAAGGAGTGAGCACCGTGGCTTAGTGTCAAGCATGGACTGGGAACTGGGAAGCCAGAGACTGCCCAATGGCACTCAACATTTCGGCCTGATGTAATAATCCCACTATTCACAAACCTGAAACAGGAGAATGGCTACAAATTCAAGGTCAGCCTAGACTAGGTAGAACACACTCTCCCAACAAGACAAAACAGAAACCACCACCATTACAACCCTAAAAACAAACAACCAACCACACCGAATAGCACTGGGTGACACTCCATGACAATAGTTGTAATTATGATTGCCAGGACGGATCTATCAAAGGAAGAAAAATATTAGTCTCAACCCCTCACACCAGGTCTACAATATCCTGTGAAAATTTCTCCTCCTGGGGTGTTTGTTTTTCTCCATTAAACAACAAAGCGTCTTTGAAATCAGGGTGACAACTTCTTGTCAGGGCAAAACAAGGGTATGGAGAGAAAGTCCTTTTTAAAGAGGTCCGCACCTGGGAAAAGCCTCCTTGGTTTCGCAGTCGTTAATTAACTAATGGGATAAATAAAGGCTCTTTGAAATGCGGAAGTGGTTCCAAAGCCACCTCCAGGAAGTCCTGTTTGATGTGCACATGCAGCTTGAAAAATACTTTCTTTTCTCTCTCAGGGTCCCATTAGAGACTGACTGGGGGGAGGACGAGCCTTCTAGCCAGGCGAGAACACGTTCAGAATGAAGTCCTCACAGTTTTGGTCCCCACCCCTCAACAGCTGGGCTTATTGAAAAGTACCTAGAGCAAACCACATTTTTGCCAGAATTCTCTGGGTGGCGGCGGACTAACTAACATAAAGTTGGCCAGGGAGGTGGGGCCCTTGAGACAGGCTGTAGGTCAGGAAAAGGGGGAGCCACCAAAGCTTGGTCATCTGGGGATGTGGGGCGGGGGGGCGGGCAAAAGAAATTTAGTTCCATCAGAAATGTAACTATCATCAGTCATACCCTTCTCTCAAAAGATGGCCTGTAAGAATAGACTGACTACAACACACACACACACACACACACACACACACACACACAGAGAGAGAGAGAGAGAGAGAGAGAGACAGACAGACAGACAGACAGACGGACAGACAGACAGACAGACTTAGCAAGGGTAGGAGGGAAGTAGAGAGCAGAAACAACAGACGTCCACTAGAACCCTAAGCAAGGTTTCAAGAGTATTTTAAAGTAGTACCGTTGCGCCCAAATGGTTTCCCTGAAGCCTGCTAACAGCTGAGGCTTTTTTCCCACACCGAGGTCCACTCAAATGTGTTAATTTGGTGTCGGAACTCATCTTTCTGGCAGCTGCCTGCAACCCGGGGAGTTAGAAGCAACCCACAAAGCCATTGCAGTTAAATGCAAGTTCAAGGTCCATGCCTGGTGAGTAAAGCTGCTAGAGACAGTTAGATGAATCCCCCACCCCCACCCAGCCCCGACTCCCTCTGGAGTCCTTGGAAAGTCCTTTTGAAGAACCCTGGAAGAAAACATCAGGAAATGTCGAGTTTATGGAAACCGAAATGATTTGGTTTCTCCTCTTTAATACCTTTTGTATATTTTTCTCTTCAATGGAAGGAAAAGTTCCCTCTTTGGGATCAGTCACCCCTATCAACTCATTCAAGATGTCTTAGAAATCACTTGGAAATGTATTTGTGCCGTGGCAACACAGGAACATTCCCGTTGTCTTCTTGGAAGCTTTATTAGAGTTTACATGTGAAGAAGAAAGGTGTGTATCTGGACAACGCTGGAGGTACAGCACACCCGTGGAGACAGAGTGGTCCTTTGAGAAATTGTGTGTAGAAGCCCAACTGAAGGATGACTTTCTGTAGAAGAAACCCGGGGAGGGAGTAACTGTAAAAGGTTTTCCTACCACTCACTCTCAGCGGGCTGGGAAGGCCTGATCACCCAGATCCAAAGCTAAGCACTCGGTCGGAAAGTTCCGGCTTCTGACCCGGCCATGAGGAACAAAACAAAGAGAAATTCAACATTCTGGAGCGCCTCTAGCTACAAATCCAAAAGGGAGCTTTATTGAGGAGCATGGATCTGTGGGTGGATCCATGGGTGTGAGCGATGGAGTGTTGATAACACGGTGATAACTTCTCCAACTATAGTTTCCCGAGCAGATAGCAATAATACTGTGCACATGTGTGCGGGTGCGCATATGCACAAGTGCGTGCGTGCATTCGTGCATATATGTGTGTGTGTGTGTGTGTGTGTGTGTGTGTGTGTGTGTGTGTGTGTGTGCTTTCTTGACAAAGGGTCTCACTGTAACCCAGGCTGGCCTGGAATTCAGCAAAAGATTTTTTTTTTTTTTTTTTTTTTTTTTAAGGGTAAAACGCTGTGTGCCGGGCAGTGGTGGCACACGCCCTTAATCCCAGCACTCGGGAGGCAGAGCCAGGAGGATCTCTGTGAGTTTGAGGCCAGCCTGGTCTACAGAACAAGATCCTGGACAGGCACCAAAAGTACACAGAGAAACCCTGTCTTGAAAAACCAAAACATTCCAGGAAAGGCACAAAGCTACACAGAGAAACCCTGTCTCGAAAAACCAAAAGAAAAAAAAAAGAAAAAAAGAAAAATCAAAACAAACAAACAAACAAACAAAAAAAACCCACTGTGGAATCCTCTCCCTATGGTAAAAACCTACTACATATGTAAAAACCTACTACAATGTAGTATAGGAAACTACATTGTCAATGAAAGCATAAGAAGCCAGTGTGGAAGCGCTACACAGTAGTTTCCCATCCATAGTATGTTATGATAGGGAAAAAAAAATGTTAAAAAAGAAAACTTCTTTTAACAACACGCAGAGAAAAAAAACCTAATTGAGCAATGTTATAGAAGTAGAGACCTTCAAGGTAAGATTTTCTTTGGAAAAATATATCAGAACACAATATATTGTGTTAAGTTGAATAAACAAAAAAATCACCCTTCTTCTAATGATAATGATCACTATCCAAAAAAATTATCTTGGATTTTTTAACTTAAAAAAATCATCTTGGATTTTTTAAATAAAAAAAATCATCTAGGATTTTTTTAAACGTTGAACTGTCCGGTAGTGTTTATTTTCCCCCTCTCTCCTGACACCAGGAAGCTGGGAGGAGATTTGCATTGCCCCAGTATTTACCAAAAGCATTATCCTTTGTGGTTTTTCTCTTGCCATTCTGTCTTACTACATCTTTTGAAAGCCTCTTCTATTCAAAGTTGGCAAAGAGGAAGGGGATGAACATATTCCTCTTTTCTGTCTAAAATGATGTTGAGTGTTGTGGCCTGTCCTCTAAGAGATGAAAGAGAGGTGCAAAGCTAAAGAAATCGCCATCAGTTTTCCTGGATCTAGGAAAGCAGTGAAGAACCCTTGTACTAAAAAATTTAAGCGGGCACTGGAGTCGTATTCCACCCCACTGTCTTTTAAAGGCTGTGAGTAATCCCAGAAGCCTTTCGAGTCCCGTCAGGCAGATTTACCTGAAAACTTAGCTGGGCTGTTTGGTTGCTGACTGACCACAGTCTGGTCACTCTACCTCTTCCAGCGACAGGTGGAGTGGATTCCATAGGACAGCGTGTGCGACAGGGGTGTGGCGTCTCTACTTTCTCTCTTCTCTTTCCCTCAAGGGCACACTGTGTTTCCTATATATAAATTATTAAGTAAACTTGTACAAAGAGGACAACCCAGTGTGGCAGCCACAGCCATCACTAACAACCTTGTATGATTTTTCCATCAATCCTAGATTTGTGTGTGTATACATATATTTGTGTGTACACATATATGTGTGCATACATACATACATACATATCCCTATCCAACCGAGTTTGCTAAATTAAACTTTAAATGTCTTAAACATAAAATAATGTATAATTTCCAACTTAAATCCCCAGTCAACTCAAGGCTACCATTCTTGAAATCAGTTAAAATAATTGAAGTCAAAAGCAAAATGACTTAACATGCCTGGCACAGGCTAAGAGCCTGTGGGCTCCTCTCTCAGGTTTGAAGGACACTAGCAGGCTCCTCCTTCTCCCTTCTTAGACTTACCTGTGACATCTCTATAGTACCATGGAGAGAGGGTCAGCTGTTTCTGAGGAAGTCTACCTGGCTTGCAGTAAAAGAATAGTAATGGTATCCAAAGGGGGATGGGGTGGTCTTCACGACCAATGGTCTGCCCTGCAGAGAGACCCACTGGTCATCGAAAAACAAACACTGCAATGGGGTCTCCACATTGCAGAATATGGCTCCCTCCCCTCCCCCCCCTTTCAGGCACGGAAGCTCAATGTTTTCATGTATAGCGGACTTTCCGTGGCTGCCATATTCCAGCCAAAAACAAATGTAAAATATTTATTCCTTTCAAATGCAGTTTCATTTTTAATGAGAAAGGGATATGCTTTTTACCGACTGAGATACTGTGGTCACCAAGTAGAATGTCCCCTTGCATTTATCACCCTTTCCCAACTCCTGGAAGTTGCATTATTTACCAGACATGTCCTGTTTGGAGTAGGAACTAGAGAGCAGGGAAAG